GTATCGCAGAGCGATATTTTATCTGCTTCTCTACAGCCTGTATCCTCAATTACCTGTACTTATATTTCCGATATTTTTGAAACCATTTGGATTTATAGTGGTGCGTCAACTCATTTTATGTGCTTTTAGGTACGCTAAAAGCGTGGAGGCCTTTCGAAGGTATCTTTCCGTTACGTTGTCGGCTCCTTCATGCATCTTTCTCAGGTTTCAGACAGGGACAATGAATTGTTTCAGTTGCACTACCGTTATGCTATGGTTATTTCCTACAACATTAATATCACATCCCTGAACTACAGCCCTATGATGTAAGGATTTGAAGGCAGTTTCCTTATCGTCTCCTTGTGAAACTACCCCTGATCGCTGCACCATGTAGGTCTATCACCCAAACGGCTGTAGTTTTGAATGACAGGTATGAAAAAAATATGATTTGAGAAATTGGCACCATTGTAATAGTTTCAATATCTACCGAAAAATTCGGCGTTTTCGTTTATGGTTCCAACACGCTATGACATTCGTGTTGCAACAAGAAGTGCAGCTGTAAACGGCTAAAAACCGTAAAGGAAATATAGTGCTTGCTACGTTTGAACTGAGCTTCGTGTCGATCGCATTGATCGTGTTGCGGGCTTCTTGGACGAATTGCTTGTTCATTTCACCGTGTTCCTCTGTGATGGCATATTGTAGCAGTTCAATCTCGGCATTGGACTTTCTAAGTTCCCATCTTACGTCAGCTAGACCGTGAGCTGAGCTTTTTAAAACGTCCGCTTTAGCACATCTACCGAAGAAAATAAGCAAACCGAATTCTGTTGCTTTCTTTCGTATAGCTAACCTAATTGATTATGCATTTTCCGTCCTGAGCAGTAAAGATCACTGTTATGCTATGTTACTATCGCCCACCGCTCATTTCAACGGTCAGTGAGCAAGTGATCAGATCGGCCGGTAGCCTATTCGACTCAGGGCCTGAATCACATTGCTTGCCTTCGATTTGCACACGATCCGTTAACAATGTCATCAAATGGTACTTACAGTTTTCATTTAATCATCCTTTTTGCAAATTACCGACATAATAATCTGGCTAAAAATATGTTTAAATATAGTTGCCACTTATCTGCGACGCACATGTAGAAGGCATATAGATGGGGAAAAAGGTTCCACAAAGCAAAAAATATAGGAGTAGCCTAAATGGTCTATAGCCTGCTCCTCAGGACGTTGGAAAAAACATTGACGAAGAGCGGGGCCTCTATTGTTGCGTTTGTCCTACAATAAATCCAATACACCAAATGATGATGTTGATTCGTGACGATGCGATTGTCTTTATCGAAGAACGACAATGCTACGGCGTCGCACACTTTGCCCCACAATACACATTACGCATATTGTCTTTCGGCCGACTTTGCATAACGTGAAAAAGATTCTATGTATTTGGAGAGAGAGCCGACGAAAAATTTCTGAGTGCTACGTTAGGTCTGTACGAGTTATCCTGATCCACGAAAGATCTCAACAAAGAAACATGACTATTATATGGTGCAGGCGTATCCATGAAACTGAAAAACACTTACTGTCGTCACCGTACGGTGCCACTAGGACCAGCTGATTTCTATGCTTGGCTGTAACTGCTACCATAAGTGAGGTGTGATAGCAGAACAGCGGGGTTTTATGCATAATTGTCATTGAGCGCTCTAAGACACAACCCCCATATAATCCATAAAATGCCATCTTTATTCATATCAAAGGTGTATCATATATTTGAGAGATTGTTTTCAGTCAAAGTAGCCTGTTTTTCAGTGAGTAATTATCAATTTCCGATGACGATATTGCCATTATTTCAAAGGTAAAGGCCTCATTGCGTCCGATTAAATCCAGGCATCCGGGAGACCGCTCAACGATCGCGCGGCACAGACAGATGGCGGTTAAACTTAAAGAAGATAAAACAGTGTTTTTCACTCACTTATAATCAGCAGGAATAACGTTAGAACGAAGCACCGTGACAGCACAAGTTCTCTATATTGGTCTTTTTCTCGTTGCTTTGATTGCCATAGTAATTTTAGAGTATTCCTCCATGAAACAGCATAACTCTGCATGAACATTCATGTCGAAGTAGAAGTATTTTCTCCCTTGCAACGAGAACAGAAGCAGGACGTTCAGGAACAGAAATCTCAACGGCTAAGTGCAAACAGCATGTTCGCCACTCGGCTACCGACAGCAAAACCAGGACCGCTACAGGCCAGTCAAGTTTGTCGTTGCTATGGGACCTTGATTTTTAGGTCGACGTCGGCTTTTCGCTGTTATGGAACGAAATCACTACGAAAGGTGACCAATCTCATCTACAACAGAGATGTACTATTACATCGTCGTGCCGACAGCAGGCAGCCACTCAAAGGAACAACTAATAGCTAAGCTGAGCAAAAAGTCATTTTCCTCCGTTGACTTCCCTGTCGAAGCGAGAGATCATTTGGGGGGATATTGGAGAGTGACGGGGCCGTCGGTCAACTAACTACCGGAACAGGTTGAAGGCTACAGATTTTCTTGGCATTTCTGTTAATTATGGGGGTTGCTTGTTTTATTCTTAACATGTTTCACGTGGTCTTAGACATGAAATTATCTATTTTTGTGGATGTATTCAAGTAGATAGGCTATATCAGAAAGGACGGTCTAAATTATCTGCAGCGAACTCAACGTACGTGTATGAGTTTTGAGTATCATTGGCGCAATTCTTTACAGCATAATATATTATAAAGAGAATTGTGGAGGGTGTAAATTTACGATTTAATCGTCTTGGACTTTATGTGTTATAGTCAATTTACTTCGCCAGTAATATTGCCAGTCGACAGATTTTTTATCACTAGGCGATGCACTTTGCCTTTAGGACCCATACATTTTAAAGACCCAAATCATAACAAGCTTCAAAAATCGAGGTTTTCTTCCAGGCCCCCATTGACGCAGGTCGTACAAAGCGAAGAACATATTTAACAAGCGGAACTACAGCTATCCAGATGTTTGGACAGCGGCGAAGGCGCTCCTAAGACTGCATATTATGTAATTACTGGAGTACCTTGTTAGCGCGTTCTTTTTCTGGCAAGTTTTTCCTTTTCGACGTCACTTAGACGATGCCGGGTCGAAGCAACATCACTACGAACAGCAGATAGTATGTTGTATTAATGCAATGCTCAAGTACCTGAATATGTCGTACTGTATTAGGCCCTAGGAAACAGCTTCCAGCTTTAGTCGACCTCCGAAATGGCCGTATAACAGGCCGGTAAGGAACCTGGCTTTCACGTAGAGCGAAAAACGGTGTCGACAGGCTTACGTACCTCGTGTGGCGTTTCTACGGTCGCAGGCTTTTTTTTTTAGATCGTGAAGGACGAACGACGATGTTTCATTCCCTCTAAGTAAATGCGTAGCGACGTGCCAAACTACCACAACAACGTCCAGGCGCAATAGAGAGCGCGTGTTGTGGTCATGCGAATGCAGAGACAGGGTGATACCTTAGATAAAGGATAGCCTAAATTCACAGGTTCTGACTACAACTAATTATCCTGTTCGTTACTAAACAGTGTCACAAACAGGTGTGTGCTTAAAATTCAGTATTTTTAAAACAAATCTCGAATAATGAAGTCGTGGTACAAGTACTCGGCATGGTAATGCACCCTGTTTGTATAGCACTTCCGATATCGATGCAATTAACAGAAAATCAAATTTCCTGTAAAAAAATGTAAATGCGTTACGTTTTCTTATACTTTTCTCTGTTCGAATATCTATAATGTATGTAGCGTTTTTGTCAAACTTAACGCGTATTCCACTTAACAAGTCACGATGGCATTCAGCTGTCTCGGCTAACTGTCCCCGGACCATATGAACTGTGAATTCGGCCCCCATTTCCGCTTATCGAATAGATACAACGAGACTTCAAACTCTGTTACAAGAGGAAAAACGTTCTCTGTTTCTTTTTTATGTCGGATTCTCTGTGCAACTCTCGGTCGACCTGGTGTTGCATGAACAGATGTCTACTCGTGAAGTGTCGACGAGATGCCCTAAACCAGCAAAATTTAGTTGCGAAAGAAGTAAGTTTACGTAGTACGGGAAAAAAGCTATCTAGAAGCAGGGTTTGCCAGAGGATGGTGACAGCTGTCGCCAACAAACAGATGCGTTCTTTTCCGGAAGACCACGCAGAAGATAAATTAACCAGAAGGACAAGGCATGCCTTGGCAGTTGCGTCATCAGCGGCAGATCGACTAACGCCGTCATGTTGTTCTATCATTGCCACATACGGTCATTGTATTCGTTTCTCAGGTGTAATCGCCTACAGATAATGGTCCAATACGCTGCTGTTAGTCAGAAGGCGTTACAAAACGGCAAACTAAGCAGTGCGGTACTCGACATTGCTCACATGAACACGGCTTAACAATCAAGATCGAATGCCAACTCGTGTCGTTAGCTTATTGTTTTTTTTTTCTATTTTTTTTTTGTTTGTCAGTCTCTCCAATTGTTAGTAATAGCTGCCTGCTTAACTGTCTCTATCTCTAACGGTACAGTGGTAACGTGCTTGCCTGCTAGGCTTAAGGACATGTGATAGTCTAGGGCAGACTGCAAAACACATCGTCGCGTGCTGAAAAAAGCTAGCCCTTTTTAGTCGTACTTTCTGCCTTCGTATAGTCCTTCTAAGAATTTGCATCATATATCCAGGTTTATAAATACTCGTATCAGTTTTTCTACGTGAACCCGTACTAAAAGCTACTCCTCTGCTGTTAGCAAACTAATTCTTTTCCAGAAGCAGTGGTAAGAGCGACTGCATTGATCCGCGGTACGTGTCGTTATGAGGTCACTCAGGTTTATTTTGTGATATGACATATCAAATAAAGAAGCGGTCAGATGTCTCCGTGAAATTACTCAGAACTACTCGTGTTGAATATTACTACTTTGTTTTATATTAATTAATAATTGATAGAGACAATTTTCTACATTATACTCTGCTAATGCTGGGTTAAATACTTATCTTTTTCCAGCTTCACTCGTCGGATGAGGATTTGGCGCTTTCGGATAATTGGCAATTTCACCGGCCATCACGTCGATGGTCGAGAATTGTCCCGCCAAACTTTAATGAGCTTCCGCTTATAACTAAGCAACACGTCGATACCGGTAAGAATATTGGTTAAAACTATATTTTCGAACACCAACTTCATTAGCTAAAGATTCAATGAAGGTACAGGTTTCGTTGTGGACCTCGAACCCACGGCGTTGCCCTTCACAACCTTAGACCTAGCCGTTTAAGTTAGCTGCGAACAGTCACTTGTAATTACACGTATTATATGCCCATGTATATTGGCGCCAACGGCACAGTCCGCATCGGTTACAGAATGACAGACGACAGCCAATTCGACTTATTAACTTTGACACTGGATTTGAGCCTGAAGTTGGCCCCTCAGCTGAGAGGTACATGTAGGTGTTAATTCGTCATTGTCGTAATGTAAATTGTCGAGAAGTGTACATAAAAAATAATTGTTTTTCTAGTAGTGTTCTTTTGTTGCTAATGTTCGGTTCTGAAACCAAGCGGGTGCTCGACAATAGTCTCCGAAGAAAATAATCTAATTGGACTTTAATGAAAGTAAGGAGTCTAGGCACCTTTGCACTTTGAAACCGTACCAGTTATTAGCTGCTGTAAACGTTTCTATGAAGAACAGGGATCTATAGAGAACTATATCATCTTCGTTCTTATCACATCTAAGCTCCTCCTTAGCTATTTTATATTATTTCATCGTTTTGCCAAAGCGACTCTTAGCAAATTTTTTATAGGGACTTCTTCGAAGTTGCAGTTTTTTTTGCAAATATTCCTTTTTTTAGACATTTTAGAAGTAATAATAGTAAACATAGCAGTAATAACGAGATTAAGTCTTACAGATTCCCTCAGACAAAAATGTTTTAGAACCTTCAGTCATGCTGATTCGTTCAACGATCGTAGGGTGCGTTCCCATTTACTCAGCGGAGTGACACGATTGTTCAACGATAGGACAGCTGGTTGCTAGTCCGTAGGTAGATTAAGGCTTCATCTGCCCAGGGTGAATTTAGAAAGAAGCATTGTTGACGGGGGCATGACCGAAGTGTCACGAGCCATTATGGAATATGAGTGCGATGCGGCTTCATCGTACAACGGAGCAATTAGGAGATCAGGTATTTGTCGAAGGCGGACAAGCTGTCTAGAGACAAATATTTTCAGTGAAGTGAATGGACCTTGCGAACAAAGCTAAAGCCGGCTAAAGGGCCAATCAGGAACGATACAGTACGAGGGTAGAACGCTGAGTGGAAATATACCCAAGAAGAGAAGTTGACGGGAAGAAGAAGACGGGGGGTATAGGCCGCAAATGATCAAACACTGACGTTCACTAAAAAATTGATAGAAACATGTACTGGTGGAAATTATAAAAATGTTTTTTTTTTTTTTTTGCTAATTGCTACAAGCTTATAATCGGTGGGCCGTCTTGTATAGTAAGTTAACTCTCAGAGAAGACTAATGGGCGGTGAGCAAGGGCACACTCTGAGTGGCTAGTATTAGATTTGATAGCAGCTTCTCTCTTTGCGTGACGTAGTTAGCACTCATCACAACGTATTTGCAGTGACGTCAATAATACTGCTGTGTTAAAAGAGGATTTCTGCTAAATAATGTTAGGAACAGTGTGTGCTTCACTTACTGTAATTGTACATTCTGTACATCGAAAAAAGATTCAACATCAAAATGTTATTGCGTTTGTTAGTAGCGGCTAGCGTGTCCACCGTTATAACCTCAAAGAAAAGCTACAGCTAAGTACCGTGTTGTAACAATAGTTAACAAACTTAAAGGCTTTTTTGTGTCTTTGCAGTAAAGAGAAATCGTTTCGGCTAAGTCTTTAAATTTCGTCCTGGTCCACTATACCATACACGTAATAGCGTGGTGTTGTCAGCTAATTGTTCAGCCTTCGGATATGAACGATCCGAGTTCACTTAATAACAAAAGATATATATATACTCGTTTTTTTCTAAACCGATTTTTTTTCACTACGTACTGTCAACGTTTGCTCAGATTTTTGAATTCCTTTTAATTATTCCGGACGTTGTGTATTTAATGCAGGGCATAGATAGATAGGTAGATCAGCAGTGGTTCAAAGCCGACCTAATCTTAGTTGTGCTTCTGTCTAGGCTCTGTGTAAGATGTCCTTTATTGAAAACGGTTTGCATTTGTGGGCCTCGTCTTATGTAATCGCTAAAGCGTAACTCTCGCCTATTAACCAGTGGTACTTCGCCACATCTGATGCTAAGGGTTAATGCAAAGATTCCAAATTTACATTGCATTAACTTGGGAATTGCCTATTCTATGTATTCTACGAACCTATTAAAAGTATTAAACCCACAATTAATGTTCCTTATCATTTCCGTCCGCCAATTTTTTAGACGACCATGTGTTACAAATCATCGGAAAACTCGACCTGCTGGCGATTGAAGACAGGACATTTTTATTATTTTGCATACAAAAGTTTACTTTGAACCCATACAAAGGAAATCAGAACTTTGGCTTGACAAAAAAAAAGTTGTGTAGCAGACACAGCACTCCTGCAACAAACCCCGGGACAGATGCAACGCAGTGCGTAGTAAAATAGATGTCGGAAATCTTTTTTGCGACTTGACGTACCATATTTATAACCTAAATCCAGAGCAAAATCTTGTGACCTCTGTAGAGCGGCCCCTGTTTTTCCATCGGTCTATACCTGTTGGCAAGTGAAAAGTTAAAAAATGAAAGCATTACACACAAACATAGACTATTTATAAACCGTTTTAATAATAATAAGAGTAATAATTGACTTTATATCAAGAAAAGCCGAGGATCTATTATCCCAATTGGATTTAAAATCGAAAATGAGAACAATACCTTTTCGATAAGCTATTTCCAGAAGTGCCCCCACTTTCACCACGCACATGCGTATCTCCACATGTGTATTCTATAATGGGGGAAAAAATGTCTCTCTCTTAGTTAGTTTGAAGCATCGCTTAGCCATGCTAAATACGAGCGTTTTGCTTCCTTGAACAGTACTATAAATAGGAACATCTAACCGAGAAGCAAATATAAGCTCGCCCGCACGTTGTGGACGATCGATCCATAACAGTTCTCTACCGTTATGGACCCGGCCCACATCTTAATTGGACCGAAAGTTACTATCGGTAATTTTAGTTTTATCGACAAACTATCCTGAACTAATGTCTATCTGGAGCGCAGGCACGCCCGGCAGAAGCCGCGGTGCAGCCTGTCATCGGCTAGATGTGTAATTACCTGTAAGAAAAACCAATCCCTGTAGACAGAAGGATTAGACTGGAACCTTCATTGCGAATCAATTGGTGGAATTATTCAGGACAATCTTTTGCGCGCCAGTGTAAGCACGATATAGGTCACGTCACTGGCCGTCGGTGCTATGCCACTAATCATTTGGCGCTGCTCCTCTCTCCTGCTCGTTAGCGTCGCCTTGCTGGCAGAGCTGGCGTTATTTGGGTCGACGCGTTATGTTGCAATGTATGTGGAGGTTCCCAGCTGTTTCTGCCTTGTTCAGTTCTAGGCAGCGTACTAGGGGTACACGCAAGCTGCTCTGTGCGACAATAGCCGTACCGTACCTTCAGCTGAGACTAACGAGATCAGGTAGCTGTACCCCATCTTTCAAATTTTCGACCTAGACAAATGAAGGATCTCTGCCTAAGAAAATATCTAGTCTACTTGTCACTTATCGTGCTATTGTACCTTATTGCTAGTATTTGATGGATAGGGGTAGGCACACTGCGAATCTCCCATAATGCCATGAATCCTAGGATGACCTATGTTCACCCTAGTAGCTCTTGAATTTCATGTAAAAAGGTGCAGAAAGGAGCAAAGAGGCTCGTTGATAGAGCCTATGTAGATGATCTGATTGGCAGTAGGTGTTCTTCTCTTTAAAACGATCGTTCATTTCTGTATTAGATATCCAGGTGTATCAACAATTGCTTTTTAAGCCCATTAAATCTGAACTTTATTGAGTATTTTTCGGTTTCTTATAGGGATCTTCCCTGAACTTCAGAAACCACACAAAGACTGGCAATAATGTACATTACCGGTTCCGTACTCGTGAAAATAGCTGATCTTCTCGCTAAAAAAATAACGTATGAACGCATGCCGGCGGCGAAAAACAATCCGCCGAAATCTGCCTTCATTTGAAGGCCCCATGCTATATATATACATATATATATATATATATATATATATATATATATATATATATATATAGCGTAAGACTTTCAAATGTGTAATACGAAAGCCATTGCTTTGATATGCCCACATACATGCTTGTTTAGTTATCAGCATGGATTCAAAATATATGTTTCTCTTGTATAACAGTTACAGCTTCCAAAATAGTTTCTTTAGTTAATATAGACGCATGCTTATATGACCTTTGAAGCTACAGAACTATAAAGGCTTTAGTCAATAAAACTGTTTGCTTAATCGTACGCTCTGATGAATAGCATCACTCGCATCTAAAGAAATTTGACCACGAGCAACGTGATACAGGACTCTGATTCTGTGCTGAAAATTGCAGAAACCGATCAACGCATGAAAAATGTCCTGTTGTTATAAACCACACCTGCTTTTCCTCGTTTAATACCTGCACGCACATCGTTGACCAGCAAATATCGCTATCACGTACCCAACTACACAGTATTTCAGTATAGGTCCATCTGTTTACGTTCCTTACGAGTTCTTCAAATAGTCCACCTGTAGTCGTCAAGACAGCACACGCAACGCTGCTTAGACCAGGTCAACGGGTGCAGGAGCAGCTGATTACCCTTTCTGTGTTCGAGCTGGGTGAAATGAAACGCGGTCCTTGCAATCGGAATCATTATGGCTACGTTCGTGGTCCTTATCATCGTTGCCGAAGCTTGGTCACGCGACAGTTCAAACAATGGCTAACTATACGGTCATAAAAATGACGTCGAAAGGTCGCATGGTGGGGTGACTGTCTAATTGCAGATTTAAATTATTGATTACGACATCGTAAATAGCGTATGCTTACCGACGCCTCTTTCGATAGACGACATAGTAAAATAGCACGCCGTTAAAGCTCGGGCTGATCGCTTTAGCCCCGAAGAGAACTGGCCACGCTGAGATCCGAGTAGTACAACGTCACTACAGCGCTGAGTGTTTCGTGGGCTGACGTACGAAGCGAATTCGTATAGAACGTACTGGCTCCTTATGGGGCATAATACTCTTGCAATACAAATTCGCACAAAGCAGTGCAGGCTGACTAATCGTTAAAGCCTTCCATTCACGGGGACAATAAATATTCTATCAACAGAAATAAATTATGCTTTGTATGTTTAAGTTACCTACAGATACCGAATATTCGAAGCAGCCTTTACTGGTACAGTATTGCGGACTAATGGGTTCCAGAGATGACATTTCGGTTTGGATCAGACCGCTTTATCGAGTACACCTAATTTTAAAGTTTGGCGAGCTGGCAAAGGGTCATTTGTAAAATCGATTTATAAAAGAGATCAACAAACTTCGTCTTAGCTTTTAAAGCAGTGTAATTTTTCCGATATAGCAACCGTCGTTTGCAAAGTTGACAATCAACACAAACCAAAGAAGACTTTTATGAAGTAATAGTTATAATACTGTCGGGTAAAAATTCTTCGTAGTAGAAAAAGCAGTTTGCTTTGTTTAACTTATTTTTAATCAGTTTCGTGAGAAATAGATTACCAGCTGACAATTGTTGAACCCTCATGGCTTTCTTGTAAGCCAGCCAGGGATTGTTGCGAAAAAGCAAAAAGTGCCAAAGGGCCATACCCCACCAAATTAGAACAGCTGGTTACTGTTAACGAGGCATCTGTGATAAACAAGACCAGCGACCACTGTAGACTAGTCATAGCAATGCCGGACGTTTCTTCCTTGTGACAAGCTTTCTATATAAAAAAAAAAAAAAAACTGTTCTGATGGTTTTCGTATCTAAGAGGAAAAACTAAAATGAGTAACTAATAACTAGAAGATAGGAGAAATCAGGAATTATTGTGAATAATAGATCAGGCTATTTCTATGGTTACCGTATCGTTGCCATGGTTCGGCTAAGGAAACCCCTCGTATGTATGGCAAGGCCCGTTCTAGTTATGCTCTGAGCTAGGCGAAGTCCTCTATAAAGATTCTGAATACGTGTTTACCTAAAGGAAAACATAGCTGTATATGCGAAAAAAGTGAGCTGGATGTGTTGCGGTGATTTGGTACTGTTCTGATATGCGAGATCAGAGGGTAGGTGATAATGTCGATAAAATTCAGGAGAAGCTTGCGCACACCAGTATGAAATCATCTAACGGGCAGGCGAGACACAGAGTTGTGCGCATACATATAGATACATATACGCATTTAATTACAATGGCACACTCTCAGAAAGATACGCATAGAGTCTAATTGAACGCTTAACGGCGATACTGTTTATGTATAAAAGTTCTTTTCCCTATTGTTTCATCATTTTCCACGCAGCGCACGAGAGATTCTTCGTACGGATAGGTCGTGCACAGGCCGCTTTTTGGCGATAAGCTTTGAAAAGCGGCTGTTGTGAGATAAGACATACGTCTCAGTCGTTTCGAGCACTGCTATTTTTAAGCTTAGGAAACACTCATCGATACCTTCGGACGCCTGTTGGTCAACGAAATTGATTCTACAGAGAATTGGTGACTCTTCTACCAATTTTCGTGCACTGACAATTACAGACAGCGCGCGTTGCATATACGCCCTTAACCTTAACTCGGGTACCATACGAATGCTACGTATGGATCAACATATATTCTGAATAGCCTAAGATACAAAGTTGGCTCTTTTGGATCGGAGCAGCGTATGATACATTTAGGGCAGAGTGTTTGTGCCAGGAAGTATAGTTATTACATGCTTTGTCTATTTGGGCTACCTGTCGTGGTATATATTAGTTTGTGATTAAGTTTGCCAACGGAATACACATGATTGAAATTTTTTTCGCCTAAGATACAAAACGGCATATCTTCAACCGATAGTATCAAATCTAAGTTATGGGTCCACTATAAAAGCTTGTCTAGGTTTTTTGCGACTGTAAGCCATGCTAATCCTTGTCGACCCTTGCATTGTTCTGCTGTCATCTTCACATGTTGTGGGAGACACCAGCAACAATGCTATGTGCATTACTGAATTTACATACATGAAGTATATATGAGCCACTTTGCGGTGTCTATGGCAATATTTGGGTATTTCCTACCGACTTTGACAGAGAATGTATAGTGATTGACAAAATCTTGAATTCCCATTAATCGATAACAAAGGTCGAAACATCTTGCAGAGCTTAAAATGAACGAGAGACTCATTTGAACGATGACTTGAAGTCGAAGTACGCCAAGTCAAAACACTGGAACATGGTGATGAATTTTGTTCATTTGAATTGTATTTTTAATAACTGCAGCTTACTTCTTTGTCTGGACTGTCGGCATCAAATATTAGTTTTTGCTTATTAGGGTCCCTGCATATGGCCGTCTAGATGACGCTTTCTCTTACGTTACCGCAAACTGTCGCTAGGTTCAACATTCGTTTGTGCCAGGCACACTATGGCTGTTTCGACTTTTCTATAGGAAACGGAAACTAATTAACACCGTTAATTACCCCATTTTTTTTTACCTTATTCTATTGACTAACATTAGTTATATTTCAATATTCCACAAATGACCATAGTTGACTCTAACAAGTGAATCATGCTATAGCGCCTTACATAAAAACATTTTCCGCAAGGCTCATATAATCTAGATTTATCTTAAATTCCACCCAGACTTGTGGACTCAAATGACGAAGGGTGATTTTTCCAATTTCAACTTAAGTTATCATTATTCTAGAACATAGGGATTGTATCTATCATCTAATCATTTTGTATGCTTTGGTATGACAGCATATTACTTATATTCCTAAGGCTGATATAAGCCCATTTTTCCTGTTCGATATAGTAGGGGGGCAGTGATTTAGTTTAGAGAAAAAACTGCTACTTTAAACTTTTTCAGCCAGGCAATCTGTTGAAGCTCGTTTGGGTCTTCAAAGTGAAAAGGCCTTTACCATCGTCGAAAGGCATAGATATAGCTGTATAAGAGTTTTCGAGGTCCGGCTTTAATCCTTTGAAATAACGATTTATGGGCAAGTATACGGAGACGTGATATAATATACAACCGCCGAACAGCAAGTAATTTATGCTCGCCTTGAAAGCCATTCACAGAACAGCATCGCAGGCAATTTCTATCTAGAGTCTCACGTCATTCTGTAAAGCTTCTAAACTTTCACTATTACAGGTAAAGCTCTAGACATATATGTGCGATAAACGATAATAGTAGAGCAAACCTAGTTTTACAGATCCATAAATAGATATGCTTGGAGGTTTTTAAAGGTTTAAGCCATGGGGTTTAAGCAGAAGTAATTTGAAAATAAATTGTGCAAACTAGTATGTTCTTCAACGGAGCTTATATCTGTGGGCTTATTACTGAAGTTAGCGATCACTGCATTTATTTCATGATTGTTTAGTCAAATTATTTAGTTTATTACATTACAGTGAGTAGTTTACTACATAACGAGGACACGCAATAAGCTTTCACCTCATAAGTCTTGCTCTTTTAATGTTTTTATTACTGATCACATTTTGGCCAATCCTGTCATCTGAGCAGGTAGTTATGGCAGTGGAGCAGCGCAGGAGGCTTACTCTTCACGCGATTCGGTGTTCCTCGATTCGGAGACAGGGAATCCCACAGTGGCCCACAGCCCCGACTCGGAGGCTTCAGGCCAGTCGCCCGTTTGCGTCGGCCCAGCTGGCTCGGCCTTGTCCGCGTCAGATGAACGAATTCAGCAACATACGACGCATAGCCGAAGTCCTACACCCTCATTGCAGGTGAGTTGCGATTTCATAAACAGGGTGGTGCGTCTAAACTGCTTTCGTTTTTCTTGTGTTATGTTTTTGGGACTGTATCTAAATAGACGCAGATATTTTGTGAATGAATGTTTGATGGTGGTTATGATTATTCAATAGAACTATTACTCATCACGAATACAGTTTTAGTTTGGAGTCTTGTTTAGTCCTAGGAAGTAGTACTAGTAGAAAGTTTAGTCCTTGTTTAGTCTGCAAAAAAAAATTAGTAGCAACCGTATATCAAGCGACTAAGGTTGAATAAGTGAGAGAACTTTTGGAGCTCGCTGTGAACCATGAATTAAAGAAAAAAACATCTAGTAATTTATCAATAAGAATAATCGTAGATATTTTCAACTATTTAGAACCAATTTATTTATAACATACATAATGTATGCCCGAAGACATATTAAGTTGTGTTAGCGCTCATATTAGCTACCTCCAGCAAAATTTTTATCATAACGGTTCAACTGCAGCAATTTGTCTACGCGCCCGTATCCTCGCACGGTGCATTTTCTTCAAGAGAGTCTTCTATTTTTTGATTCTATCCTCTTCAGTGTATACGTAATTTTGGCATTTCTCGTTTACGTCTGGTGCGAGCTGCAGACTGGCATCCATTACCTTCTTTCCCCCGCTGTCTCACCTATTCTCATGGCGTTACCATGTTATAACATGCATAATATAAATATGTGTATTTCTCTCCGACTTTTGTTTTGGACGCCCATTCTTTTGGGCATCTGCTCGAACTCGCTTATGCGCTCAGCTTTCGACCGCTGTGACATTGACGCCGAAGGAGGTACTGACATCAACAGGGACATTAATTCTCCGCGCTTAGCTGGTCTGTTCCTGATGATCGCTGGTTTCCGGTCCGGCACGATCGTCCGAAGTATGCACGCGGCCCACCTTATTAAATTCGCATACGTGCTAGTGGTGCAATGTCGCTAGAACGTTTTTGGTTCAAAACGCTGCGGAACTAATGATCTTCTAAGTTAATCAAAATCCCTGAAATGGACGGCGTACGTTTATTTAGTAAGTAAGCTAAGACAGCTGAGATCTCCCTGGGTTAAGTTCGTCCTTGTGACATGGAGCCGAGATGGCTGTTATAGCCTGTCATGTCATTGTCCTAAGCGTCTAAGTCACTAGCAGTTATATCGTTTAGAGGTGGTCGTTGCAGTAGCGTGCTATACACGAACTTAGGTCTTGAAGAACATTTTCCTCAAGACGTTTTTCCAAGTTCTTGACACTGTTATACTGAGAGACGCGTCAAGGACAAATTTAGAAAGACGCCTGAAGTATCTTCGAAAGAGTTATGCAATATCTCTGGTGAATATTATATAAATGTACGTAAAAACGTTTAGAAATATTGGGAGAGCCGGATATTTCTTAAACGATTGTAGTTAAGCGGTCTTGCTTCGACCGTCTGTGTTGGGCTTAGCAATTACAGAGATCAGAGGCGTTTTTCGAATTTCCTATGCACTTTATTGTTGTGTCGTCGCAATCCCGTCCTACATATATATATATATATATACATATATATTTAGTACAAAACATACACGTTTTTAGCCATTTTATACCGCTTTATCGTCCTTGGGCACCGGCAATAATCGCTTTTGCCTCACTGCACATGCCAGGTTCTCCAAGAGACATTGACCCTCTTTAAGCCAAAACGAAGGCAGATATGTTTGATATCTTACAATAACATTACCAAGTTGAATAAACGTCGTTTTAATTGTCGGCTTTTTTTGCAATTTTGCTGATAACACCTTAATCCTATTAATGTAGAATTCCGGTGGTTTCTAGATGAAAAATTGACAAGTGGTCCTTGTCGCTCGATCTCTGCTAATCTTTCTTACCTTTAATCTCAATGGACCTCAACAGATGATACACTGGCGGTGCAAGATCTGGATTATACGGCAGATGCGCTAATTTTCGAACCTCCTAATTTTTGCTGGCTGGCTATAGGTGTTTGTAGTCTAAAGTCTTCACCATTTCCGGTTGATTCTTTTTTTCAATCATTCCTTGTCAGCTGTTGACATTGCAAATCCGAACTAATCATTTTTCCAGACGGCAGCAGTTCACAGTGTACGATTCTTTCTAGTCCTACCAAGCACATAGCACTACCTTCTTTGGCCCCAGTTTGGCCTTTGCCACAGACTGTGCAGCTTATTTTTATGTATTTTTTTTTTACTTTTACATTATTATACAACAGTTCTGTCAACCGCTTTAGAAATGGTTTGATCTTATTGCGACGCTGTAGAATCTCGCAGGCGAAAATACGATCGATTTACGTAAATTTACGATGTAACAGCCAAATATGGAGTTTTATTTTGTAGCTAGCTTTCTTCCAACGGTTTAACACTACTTGGTGCTAGATGTCATTCGATGGCGATATTATGGATAATCATGCATTGCTCTTGCGGTTTGTGCATTAGATTTTATCAACTTTTCTTGTAATTCATCGCATACCATCCTCCACATGGAAATTTTTAAGACGTAAACGACAGTAGCATTTCTGGGCCATTTCTTCCGGCAACCCATTTTAACTATCAAGATAATAGTTTTTATGCCTTATAGTAGCGTACAAACGAAATTTATATTTTCTGAAAAATTTCTGAAGTAATTTGCGAAAAAAAATCTAGGATTTTTTGTCAGAAATGCGCTCACTATCAAGCCTGCATAGAGACATCCCAACAACTTCAGCACCGTGTTTCCGGTGTCACGGAAAACTGTGTCGCTGTTAGGCGTTCTATCAGACGGCAGGTCCCAACACGAAACGAAATGTGTAAATGCGCGGGTTCAATCCTAAGCCATAACGTGTCCTAAATATTAGAAAGAAAATACGTCACCCACGAAGCTATAACAGGGACAGCTCATTCATTACTACCGAATCTCAACTTCGAAGTGTCAATATTTTCTGCTCGTCAAAAATATAATCCAAAATCTCCAAACCATAACTAGATAGATAGACTTTAGGCAGTAGAACGCTACGGTCTACTTGTAGAAGTCAAGTCACAGAAAATTTTACCTGGCCCAATCCTCAGATTCAATTTATCGTTTCGTTCCAAACAGTTCTCGACCGAAGCTTCCAAGGAATTACAGCTTTGTCTGAACCAAAACCTAGGCTGAAAATGATCACGTACATGTTGCTTAAAATATCACCACTTAACTGCAACTTCCATCTCTGATGTGTGCTTAACCTGTATGTAGTTTTTTAGGACTGAAGTTTGTTTTTCGGGAAATAAAGGTTACAGGTTCGTGCGCGATGAAGGTAGACGTCGGTCCATAGATCTTGGGTACAAGAGCCGGTACTGATAGAGCTCTGGCTGAGCCAATATTGGGATTTATTGTCTCATTATTGCTTAGTTAATTACTTCACATCTCCTGTTTACAATGATAACTGATTCTAAAATGTAAGCGAAAAGTTGGTGTGAATTTATGGCGGAAAATACGTTTTCAGTTAGAAATACATTTATAAAACGGGTGATTGTGATCCGGCCTGTAAGGTACACTTCAGAATTTATCTAAAATGCAGCGCCAGTTTGCAACCTACATATTAATAGTTTACGTTTTGCACGCATGGGGACTTGATAAAGGTGATAATCAAAAGAATGTGAGCTAACTTTTTTGTCGACTTTGTTGCTGTTTGCCTTTCTTCTTAATTCTCCTCGTCTTTACCATTCTCCTTATGTCTCGTATGTCCACCATTGATTGCCTCTTTTACATTACACGCCCGTACCTTATCATTTGGCCGTACGGTCTTACCGACGTTCGTCGTACCACGCCCCAATCAATGCCGGCATTTTCACGAGAAACGCTATTTGTTCGGTTCAACATCATTATTTGTTGCCGATTTCCCGTTGGTTTCACCTGCTGGACCTGGTTACTCAACTCGACTCAATGGCGATGGGACCTGACGTGACGTTGTCTGGCTAACAGAGCAAACTACGACGCAGCGGCAGTGAACGGATCCGGGACGCGATTATCCGCAAGGTCGATTCGTTTCGAAGGAGGAGACGCGAAGCGCGTTCGAGGAGTCCTAAGAGCCACAAAATGGGAAGGCCGGGAGGCGCTGAGCAGGATCCTTCAACGACACAAACGACTACTGCTCATCAGCCTTCCTCCCTCCACGCTGTTATGCTGCCGGGACAGACGCCAGCTGGATGTCTCAAAAAGGCACAAGGGACTCACAACAGCCCTAAGTTTCTCAGCCTTAAAGGTGAGTGTGCGCGTTATTATACGTAGGGCCTAAAAATAGCTGGAGTACAATCTGCTACAATTAAAAATTTATTTGTGCATTTTGAGTGCAATAATATGTAAAAATGACTATATGACAGCAATTAATACATAATATTATGAGCTGGTGACAGCAGCTGACTGTGAAGTACGATACCTCTCCGAGAGATTCTCGGACAACCTGGCCTTTCTTCGAAGTTGTGTGCAATAGCACCGTGCAGCTCTCGACCTCGTGCTGAGAGACATCTTTCTTGCGGCGGCACTTAAATGGACATGTGGGAAGCAGCCAGATATATTAGCAGCATCCACGGGCCGGTTACGGTGCTCTCGCAGGCTGGTTATCATGGAATATAAAAAAGACAAATATATCAGCGGGTGGAAAGTTTTGCAGAGGCGTTAGATTTTTTCGCAAGTCCGGTCAGAAGTACATGTGTTCCCAGTTTTCCTCCTTGGTCAAGACTACAAAACGGCGAGTGATATTATAGCAAAAAAAGCTGATCGAGAGACTTTCCGCTCTCCATACCACAACATCTGGTGGAGTTATAAAGGTGTGGGGACCAGAAAGATTGCCTACAACATTCTCAGAAGGGTGAAGCTTATTTGGAGGCGTGAGAATCCTGACAACCGTGAGGAACATTAGTCAGAAACTGTTCACTTTAAAGCCATCGAAGCTTGTATAGCAAACCAGGCCAGTTCAAGCTGACTCGTTGAGCCGAACAAATCACGGCCAAGCGAAATTAGCATTAAAGAACTGCTGGTGGGAAAAGCAGCAGTGAGTCGAAAAACTCGACCACGGCCAATGGGTTTTACGCGCCACAATGATTAAAAACTTCGTGAAGCAGGTTTTGGCAGGGTTGACATCTAGAGTGCCGGCTGCAGTATGCGACACCTTGAATAACTGCAGCCACTCGCTATAGGCCCCTTTTCGGCCTACTGACTAAGAGACCAAACAACTTAGAAAACGTATGTGCCATCCCAGCAGAGCAATATGGGTTTTGGAAAGAACGCTCCACAAAAATTTCGCGCGGAGCCCTAATGGCCGACGTCAAGAAAGTACTGGTCATGCTGTGCGATCTGCAATGCGAGGTGTTCGTCAACTTTAGGGCAACTTTTTTACTTAACATCCAGCAACAAAGTTATGCTCACTCTGACCAAAAAATGTCGCTATGAATCTTCTCAACCTTCTTGCTCTAGTACGATAGAAGAAAAGGATAACCATCGAAGACAAAGTGATGAACTCCAGCCTTACACACGCACAACTGGCCTGGATCTGGGGAGAGCCTAAGTCTACTTTGGTTTTCTACCTTGCTGAAGGGCCTCCAAATAAGATGGCCGAGGAGGTCAGTCGAAGTCGATTTACAGATATACGGGTTAAACGGGTTCCAGAAATATCAAACGCTATCCCAGTTCGATGCAACAGTTACAGATTTGAGGTTAATCGCAAACCCAATCTAGATGGAGACCGTGAAGTTTAGGAAAGAAAACAAGAGAACGGCCACTGACATCACTACCTCCCTAAGTTGCCTTTCGGCTATGTGAAACAGTTTCCTTACATGGGGGTTGCTCTTCTCCGCAAACGGCAAAAGTTTTTGCACACGTCACCCAAAGGTGCAGAAAGGCAGTGTTGGCCGCATTGGCAATCGAGTTATCGCTTATTCTTCGCAACTGTTCTTAGCGTGCTCGACCTCCATGTAGCTCCGATCCCAACGAACTTACTACGCGTCATTTGCAAAGATCTTACAGTGGAGAACCTCGAGCAGTTAGATTGCATTAAGGCCTCCTTTGTCAAAATAGCATTGGAAAATTGTATTGCATATCGTCTAGCCGACTCGTCACTGCTGTCCGAGGATTTACGTCACCGCCTTGAGGTCCCAGCAACCGAAACTTTTAAAACTAATCTTAACAACTGGGAACCAAAATTCGCGGAGATCGATTGAGATTTTTTTGCTTTGGGTGCAATGAAGAATGAGTTGGAAAAAATTGGCCGGCTAAATAGACATGTTGTCGTTCACTTTTCCGCGCGTAGGCTACGCCTTAGACTTCAAAGGAAACGCGGTTCCCACGAATTTGACGATAAATAAAAAAAATAATAATAAATATTCCAGCTGCAAGGAAAATTGTGATATATATCATACCGCTCGTTACCTCTTGGTACAATTTCCAGAAATTTTCCTTAAATAAAAAAAACTCAAAGGACTCGTAACCAATATGACAAAGGGAGTTTTAAATAATTGAGGACATTCGTATAGTATTGAAATATTGTGTCGTTGACCTCTATATATGAAGTTTTTAAGTGAAGGACAAGATGACCTTGGTATTTCGCCGTATGTGAATCGAACATGTTCTTTTTGACGATTGCAATCCTCAGTCCGGGATGACCATCTCATTTCCACTGTTCTTACCCTTTGATCCTTTCTTCAGCACTTCACAACCACACAATAGATAGCTGAGTTCTCGCCTCGTTTGTATCAGTTTCTTGTACATCTCCTATGACCCCTAACCCGCTCGATATTTGCTTTATTGTATTCCTATGCGACCATTTGTTGTCTGTTTTGTTCAAATTCACTTTGTCACCGTGGCAAATCGGTTTTGCCCTCAGCTAACGAGCATAGCGCGCTTTTCAGTATGCCGTACCGTATAGTCATAAAGTACGAAATATTTTTCGTTGCGAGAACGTAGGGTTTACAGAGTTGATAAGCTAGTGGAAGTTAGCTAGAAAGTCTCAGGCACGAGAGGGAGCGCTTAAGGGGTAAAAAAAAATAAAACAAAAGACCGTAGTTCCCCTCCAGCAGCTACATATGCGAGAATGCGTGCGTGCCATATTCCTTTCCGACAGAATTTATTTCCTCTCTTCATCGGCCTCCTTCTTTCTTTAGAATTTGCTTTTTCCTAGCCTCTCATTCCCTTGCGCCTCTAAACGGGAAAGGCTGCTTATACTCCGATAAATTAGCAGCGACAGAAACGGCGGGGAATTTGAACGTTGAATGTAAAGGCTATTACCGACTTGGCATCGGATCAGTAACGGTTTTAGCCACAGCTTCATTCTGCCGACGTTATTGTTGACCGAATTGTTTAACAGTTTCTGACCGCAGATGGGTAGGATTGCGTGTGCCAAATAACGAGAAGATACTTTGCGTCACTTCAAAATTACCTCCCGCAGCATAACGAAATGGAAATTTATTTGATCTTATCTTGCAGATAGGTCGCCCAAACAGTGGACGGAGTGAACCTGTTTAAACTATTCGCTATTATGCCAAAGCTGTCTTTTGAGATGATACATGTTTTGACCACATTGTTTTCGCTGATTTTTACGCAATACCTACGGATGCCTCATCTTTGACATATTTTCTTAACTGACTTATATTGCAACCTTCATGCGACATACCTGCACAAGCCTATAAAGGCTTACCTAATAGGCCGTTCACAGTTACAGAAAATACAGTGTGTGCTGTTTACTTGTCCACAAATGCAGTAATGTCCATATATGTGCTAAGTTTAAGATTGTTTAACGTGATTGTAGACTTATATTAACCATTAATTGTCATTCTGTGTCGCTAAATGGACTATGACCTGGACAGAAGGATGCTAACAATAGAGCCAGAGAAAGATCCAATAGTGTTTCCCGTTCCGTCCGCAACGTTGCTTGGCACTCTTTGGCTTTCGTAGCCTTGCGATAGGCAACCCCTACCGTGTTTCATTTTACCCCATTGCCATTGTGCTGCCTACAGAGTTTCCAGTCGTCTATCCACACGGCGGGTAAGGCAGTTTAGGATGTATAGCCAAGGAGTGAAACTTAAGTAGATTCTATTTAGTACTTTTTATAGATATATTATTTAGCTTGGAAGTTCATCCAGTCAGCTATAGATGCTGAAGGCTACGAATGCACATACTTCAGTAAGAAACGTTTAAGATGACGACGTTCTTCGGACGGCCTTTCTATTATTAAATGCCCCTATTTAATATATTTGTATATGCTCATTCACTATATTCGCTAACCAATACATATAATAGGTATTATCGGTACCGTTCTGCACGTCTTTTGAAGTTTATTAAATATTATACAGATTGTCGACGTCTCTGAATAATTCGACTTAACTACATTGGTGTCGCTAGGACATTATACGAACTATTGCTATTGGTACATAAATACAAGCTATAAAACGTTATCTTGTTATATTTGTTTTATTCTATAAATAACTGTTAATAAGGTAAAGAAGTTGAGCTTAGCAAAGTAATCGATATCAATATAGATAAAGTGTGCCGAGATTGACTATGCACAGTATTAATTAGTAAGTAATTAGTAAATTCGGGTATCCTGCTGCAACTAGAACTTAGATAAAGTTCTAGTTCTTCTTTTTAATTCTGCCATGCTACCTAGTAACACAAAAGGCCGCTAGGAGCGAATATGCTTTCAAAACAGAGTCGTTTTTACTTGTTAGAATTTTTATTTTAATTGCAATTTATAAGAACGATATCTAATGTATACTGACAGGAAAGCGGCGGGGGGAATGCTACGATAACCAGGCCTTGTTAGCTGATCTTGAGGGCTGCGATCCACACTCATTGACGTTGAACCTCAACTTGAGTTTGACTCAATCAACACAGTCGGATACAGATGTCGTGGGGGATTCGACAGGCGCGCGAAGGGACTCTGGCGTCGGTAGCTCCATAACTAGGACCAGCACGTAAGAAATTGCTGACGATAGATATGAAATATGTATTGATAAACGAGCACTTTTTCAGAGCAAACGAATGACTGCTATGTGCTTTTTCTGGCTTGACGTGCATAGACAATTGCAGCCATCAATTAGCCCTATTTGATTCATAGCCAAGTTCATTATCAGTGTTTTTACGGTCTCTAGTAACACCAACTGGTTTTAGCAGCAAATCGTTCAAAGTTCGTTGTGCTTGGGTCGTGCAACTGCGCACGTTCAAATATAACTTACTTGATTATGCAAAACGCATATCGATGATAATAATGTTAGTTATAATGAAGGTAATAAGATATAATCTTTAACTTGCGTTTCATACACTGGCTGATCTTTGGTGGATACGGTTATTTCATCAGGGGTTCGGTAGCAGGCCTTGTATCCACCACGTGGCACTGTTATCCTGGTCCAGCCGTTCATCCGACCCTTCTTTGCCCTGACAGAGCTATCCCTCTTTCACAGCTGACAGGTCAGTCATGCCAAGAGCGTCGTCAGTAAGTCAAGTGCAGGGTAGACGAAACGCTGGGAATAACAATCAGTTAGTTTGACGCATTGGATACGCAACGACCTTATATACAAGATCGATACTTAAGTAAACCGGAAGGCGCCATAAGAACTCCGCCTTCTCGTACAGACTTTGGTAACTGAACACACGTTGTTCATAGACCCATAACGCAAACCAGCAATAGTTAGTATGACAGTGGGTTGAGCTGAGGAATAGTATACATAAGAGTAGGCATATATATTCTTGAATAAGTGTTGTTTATACCCGTCAACTCAGTAACTGGGTGCGAGGTAATAGGGAAATTATTTGGAGCTTTGTAAGCCGTGAATTTGTGGTACGTAAATATCGACTATCGACTTACAAGAGCACTAGTATGAATCAGAATTCAACATAAAACAATCGAAACATGTATAATTTAGCTAACTCTGATTCTTCACCGATAGCATGTCAACACATGATCCTACGAAAGCACGCTTTACTACGATTAACTGCACTCATGGAGCGGTACAGTCCGCCTTATAAAACTGGCTGGGCGTGGAGTGTTCCGAAGTTTATCAAGAAGATGACGACACCTAATTATAAGGGTAAGTTAAAGATAGACAACGTCAATATCAGAGATACTTTAACCAGATTTATATATAATATCAGAGATACAGAAAGCTTTAGCTTTAGCTACCCAAGGCTGAACGGGCACAGCGGTCTACATAAACAGCCAGGCGAGTCGACGCTGAACGACGGCAACTGAAACATGAATCATATGATAAGTAGCGACGCGTCTCGTAGCAGACGAGTCATATGTCGCACACATTTTGTAATCATCTTGGCAAAACCCTGTGGTAGATATGGAACCTGATTAGCCAAGCCTTTTACCAATAATAATTGCTGCTTTCGCGATTTTACTTAACGGGTCTGAAATTTTAAGGCTGTGCACTATCCGAAACAGGTCTTCTGCATCTACTGCAGTGCATACCTATTATCAATATTATGTCTATCACATTGGGTGGTTGAAGAAATTCGAAATTTTCGTCTGCGTCGAACAATGTACAAACACAGGGTTTTTCAAGTACAGCTTGGTGACATCCATAGTAAATACCTCGCAGCCAGATTAAATTTACATGAAACCATATATTCGTCTACATCCATAGTCGTCTATGCTTTGTACTGAAGCAAATCCCCAATGTAAAGCAAGCTGAGCTAATCGACGTACGTAGTCGAGTCGGACCCATAGGCAGATTTGGGCTCGCGAGGTTTTAGATGGAATGGCCTTATCCATAGTTGAACATATGTGCTCTCACCCTGTTCCAATCTACGCGATAATGGGCTGCCTCATGGCATTGAAAGGGATTAAATTCTCGTGCGGGGTCATGCGAGAGTTCGGAGAGTCATGCATACACGTATAATGGAACCAGCAATTATTAAGAGAGACTAATCTGTGATAAAATGAACTGAGTTCATGACTAGAATGTTCTGACGGGGGTCATTTACATCGTTCCGATACATTTTTTGCTATTAATCTAACCGAAGGTTTAACTTTGATACACCTACAAACGTTGTTCTAGAAATCGAGTCCACACAAAAATCTGTCTTTACGTTAGTACATGATTTATTTACATGGTTTATTGCATTATTACAAGATTAAAATTAGATAAGTTATTTGTTGAAGGAAAATGTGTTATTTTATTATAATCACCTCACTACAGTCGTACGTACATTTCTAAGCTCGTTGTTTACGTCGCCTTATTATTATTTAGCCTCTCCATTACGCACTGAGGTATTCAGGGTCCGCTGTATTTCGATCTCATATACTTCATGTTCATTTCATACCCACAAATTCGACCATTTCCCATTACGGCAAATTATGGGCCCCGCTAACGCCAGCAGATAAGGTGACGTTTGGAGTTCCGCTGAGTGCACACATCCAACGATCGGGCCATCCGTTACCCCCATCGATTCAAACTGCAATGCAGTTTGTGGCATCGGTGGCGCCCCGATGCGGCGGCGTTTTCCGGAAGCCGGGCGTACGCTCACGAATCGAAAAACTCCGTGCACTGCACGAGACGCACGCTCTCGACGCACACCTACTGGTGTATGAAAGCCAGCAATGTTACGACGTGGCGGACATGGTCAAGCAGTACTTCCGCGAGCTACCCGAAGGTGGACTGCTTACCGCCAACTTCTCGCAAACGTTTCTCTACATATTCATGCGTAAGTGATTTTGTTGTAGGTGTACCAGAGCGTGAGGGGTGCGCCCATGAATTGATTAAACATGCGTGTGTAATGGGGTTTATGTTGGGTACCAACCGTTTAAGGCAATTGTGTCGATTGGAAGTAAGGGACATAAAAAAGCGAAATTTGTTATGGTAACAGTAACAGCAAAAGTACTAGTATCGTATTCGTGGTTTCTTGATCGAAGTTGTCTGAGTGCAATAAGTGGTTAAAGGGCGAAAATAACATATGTTTTTTAATTGCTTGTAGATGTTTGCCGTATAAGATGGACTGCAATCTTTGAGTTTTGTCTGTGTAAAAGCAAAACAGTATACACGTTCTGTATTTTCCCTTTTTGTGTAGATATTCCCGAGGAGCACCGTTTGGAAGCACTGCAGTGCGCCGTATTGATTCTACCAGACGAAAACAGAGAAGTGTTGGAAACCCTGTTATGTTTTCTAGACGAAGTTGCTCAAGCGTCCCAGCAAAATGGAATGACCGCGTCGAATCTTGCACTCTGCTTCGCACCAAGCATCTTTCAGCTATCCCAAACGACTAGTCCTAAAAGGTACACTTGTCTAGAACGAACATAAAATAGGTGCTTATACTCCCCTTTAGACACATCTAACGCGAGGGCTTAACGACCTAAAAAATCTTTTCTTGGCAATTCCTTCAGAGCCATATCGGGCTTCGGTTACTACTTACATTGTTTTTGCGTCGAACAGAGTAAAAATCGCAGAAATCTGCCTCGCTAAAAAATATCCTGGTCGTTATTTCTTGTAAATCCACTCCCTAGCGGACCATACGTCAAGCGTTCTGTGCCGGAAAGCTAGACGCGTACAGCCGATATCAAGTCAATATTTGATCTCTCTGTGTAGTATAATCGTAATTCTTTAGTGAGCTGTTGCAGTGAGAAGAAATCGCAAAGGCACAGCGCGGAAGTAGCAAAGTGCTACAGAAACAGGATTCAGCCTAGCTGTCAACCATTTAAGAAGCCCGTGGCATTCTGCGCAGGCCCGGGTCTTGGCAGCGGTCTTGCTTTGGGCGGTCATTGTAGACGAATAGAAGAAATGCTTGTCCATGGTACAATGCATTCACAAAAAGCCGCGGGTGAATGATGGTCGCACACCGTTACCTAATCCAGCAAAAAATGACAGCAAATCGCCCCCGACGGATAAAAATCAAATGAATTTAGATTTACACGAAAAAGAAAGCTCATTTAAATTTTTCTCATGGGTTTTAGGAGCAAGTTCTATTGTCTCAATCAGTCACCGCTGCAGCAAGGTTGCGAATGAGTAAATGGCTACAAAAATGAAATAAACAAGGGTTGCGACGGCGGCAGCAGCAGGGATCTGATCTTGGGCATGCCAGAGCAAACAATACAATTTGGCTTTATCCCTATTCGGTCCTATACAGACTAGCGACCACCTGTTGAAGGACAATAGAATACCGGCTGGAATTTACAACATGTCAGATCAGCAAGCTTGGATCGCTTGGGTGATGAAATTTGCGGTTTTCACCATGAACTGTGTACGGACGGACACCTAATGAGGGGATGCACTTTCGATGGCTGTGAAGGGAATTGTATATAACTACCATGGAGCTAGTTGCCTTTCATGACTTCGCCTAGAAACCTGGCAGATTCACTTTTGCAAATTCAGTCGTTATGCCGAAATTCTTAAGTTCTTCAAGTTCTAAGTATATCAGTGTTGCGACTTACGCAGCATATGAATAAATGATCTTGTGGTATATATGTCACATATTCGATTGTAAGTTTGTTTTTCTTTTTACACAAAATCGTGTTATTGAATATGTACTGTTATCGTTTGTCGGTGACAAGCATTTCCGCGGTAAAATGGAAAAATGTTTTTAAATATCTAATAATATGGCTTTCTACTGGAGGTGTAGTACCAGACAAGGTGTTCGAATGAGTCGGCGACACTAGGGACTAGTAGGTGCTTTAATATTAATGGATCTCCTACATATCGGAAAAGCAAATTCTTAACTAAACTAAGAAAGGAAATCTTTTCCTTAAAGGTTTGTCTTTACTGTCTTTTTTTTATGTAGATCCCCGTAACTTGCGTCTTTTTAGTGATTAATTTCCATAGTTACTATATCGATTATCGATTTGAGATGTCTAGAATGTATGGAGATACCAAAAGAGTAGTTGTAAAACGATCTACCTCTCTGCGGCAGGCACTGCTTGTCTTTAAGCTCGTCCAGTTAGTTAAATGCTGCGATCTTCTTATCGAAATCCACAAAGGTAGATATGCGGGTAGCTTTTGCAAAGGTCATGCCTTCGCGGGTACCCATAGGGTTCAGTAAAATCTAAGAATTGGTGAATTAGCCTGATTGACTGATTGACTGACCCTGTTGGAGACTGATCGTGATGACTACGTAAAAGACCTTAGGGCTTTTGGAGTGAAGACTACCGCAGAGCCCCATTTTCCTTCCTGGGGGCTCAGACGGTCGCCTGTTGTTTATTTTATAGAATAGAGCGTATAATAAAACGCCTTACATGTAGGAGAGGGATACATTAGCTTCAAATCTATCCAGGAGCCATGTTTGGCCTATTAGTTTTTGCGGCTAGGCAGAGAGCGCGCGAACGGGTGAGCCAGTACCTAGAACAGATCTTTGCTTACGCATAGCAGCCAGCGTCGGCAATCGCAGGCTCAAGAGCGTGGACATCTTATTGTTCCGTTAGATTCCGACAAATTCTTACGAGCAGCAGTCACACAAAATCCATTTTTATGCATTTTTGACACTGAGGTGATGTAGATTCATTATCAGCCTGTGAATCGAGCTTTTTTCTACCGCTTACCACGTAGCGAAGCACTATGGTAAATACTCGGACAATAGACGTATTTCCCCAGACATACGAACTTCTGGCGCAGGCAACGTTTAGCCTGATATGAGGTCTCTGAGCCATCCTATGATGTCACGGTATTGGATTGTAATATAAACAGCTTTAACAAAGCTAATGTAGGACGGATTTTCTCCGTACAATCGAAATCAGCTAGGGTTATTTGATTGTATTAAGCTCTGTTTTAGATCATGGCATCAATGTGCTTGTCTGTGTTACAGCTCGACCCATTTTTATTCTATGGTATGTGGATATATTTTATTGCCTTAATCAACCGCGACAAATCTGTGCAAATTCTACGATTTTTAAATGGTTGAAACAAGTCAACACATGTTACGATAATTACAACAATATATGATAATTATTTGTTATTATTTTGACAAATAATAGTTTTGTAGTGATAATAAAGCGAGCGTCAAGGTAATAGCAATGTAGGCGGTACCGTGATGCAGTTACCTCAACTTACACAACCTAGTGTCCTAGATTAGTTTTTTTTCGAGCTCAATAGCTCGAAGTATCCGGTAATAGTATAAAGTATCCGGTAATATCTAAGCTTACGTTATTTTTTTCTCTTTTGCCCAAGGCTTTAAATAGCTGTGGTCAAAAGCAGTAGACAAAACGTCGCATTAATCTGAAACGCTTTCCGTTTAGAGATTGGCTTTGTACTTTTACTCAACGTACCTTCATTAAAAGATCGCTGAATCATTTTTCCCATGCATGTGTCTTATATCTAGTTTAATTACAAACCTAGTTTGTGTTCCCTCTTGGTCTTACAAAAATCGTTGCAGACCATTTAAAATTTGCCAGAAACTCGGTAAGGAAGCAATGAATAAGTCGGAAGAAGTCAGTGAGACGATTGTGTACAGCAAACTAAGTTATCTTTGTTGAATAGTTCCTCTCACGGTAATCTCCCCTAAAATAGAAAATACGTGAATATTATCAGCAAACACTTAGAAGAATATTAGGTGTCTGGAACATCGATTTAAAATGAACCACATGGAGCTAATATCGTAGGTGTTTTCTCTTAAAATTAGATTCTAACAAAAGCAAACTTCGTATGAGGAAAAGTTCTGGTCAACTCGGTATAAAAACATAGGCCAGTTACAGCTAAAGTCACTTAAATTCTTCGATAGAGGCCTCCGATTACTACAAACTAGATTAATAGAAGACGGTGAAATTAAATGTACGAGATAGTTCAAGCATGTACACGTGCATGTGGCATCACTGCATGTCCTTTTTATTCGAGTATTTTGATTCCGCTTTCCGATTTCCTCTTGTAGGAAGCGCAACAATCAACTAAGCGGCGAACGAGAAATTTGCGAGAATCGTGCCGGTAACGAGTGTCTATGTAAGATGATTGAGTGGCACCAGGAACTATTCGCAGCGTCCGTCCAGATCCTGCAGTCGGCACGACTGGCCTTAGAAGATCCAACTGACATTCAGAATTTCCTAGCCAGCGAAACACCTCAGCCATTATACAAACTCCACCTCGATTCGTGCTTACACTGGCTGCTCCACGAAGTTCGGCTAAACAAGGGCTGGACCCAGGTGTCGCATTCGGACCTTGAGCTCGCATACAAGAAAGTTAATGACGACTATCATTATATTCGGCTATGGAAATGTTCCGTATTGGTAAGTAGCGAGAAACACAGGGCGGAGAGCTAAGCCTGTATGTGTATAATAATAGATCGATTAATAAACTTGTAAAATACAATTATTGTTAAAAATGCGCCTACAAGTTAACCTCGATCGAGAAACGAAATCAAGTGATCTGCTTCTAATTTGTTTATTTAGGATTTTACCCATAAGATATGATATATTTGAAAGGTTCTTAGTATTGTGCTGTTTGCCATATAGAATATTCGCGTTGACAAGTGCAGGCCATCTTGCGATCAGTCATTTGGTACTTTTAGAACGGAAAGGCTTGGGGTGTTTGAGTCTTAAACGCGGGATATGGCCTCGTTCACTTCGTCTGCCCCGTCCGCCCACCTTCCACCCCTCCGCCCAGCGGCTGAAAGAATCGTTGTGTCATGCACCTAATGGCAAGGACGAACGAAATGACAACTGAACGTGGAATACAGAAAGTCGTTTCATTCAAGTTTTTCGAGTTTATACTTGCCATCAACACTTCTTGTTCCAGCGCGTCCGAGATCAGGGACACGTCATTAAAGCACACTTGCTGTGAGCTAATAATCCTATATAATGAACTGAATGCGATTATATCGAGTTATTACCTGCGGATTGAGTTGTCCTAAGCGTGCCTTATAACTGCGGGTTACACAACACTTCCGTGTGTTGACACGTCATGAAGTACAACCTTGAATGTCGGTACCAAAAAAATATAAACAGTTTACTTCTGCTGAAGGCAGAACTGGGATAGGGCGGTGCTTTCAACGTGCCCTTGACTAAGAGCGCTAGGTCAGCTGTAACACTATCTCATTATTCCGCTAATGGAGCATTGCCTTTCACAACACTCGGGAGTCGCACATGAGCGCTTACGGCGGACGACGTACTACACGAACTTCGGCAAACACATGTATATACTCAGGCGAATTTGCATATGACGCCTCGATTGCCTCAGGCCGAACAAGCTATGACGGCCATTGATGGGCCTGAACACTGAGATGGTACTTCTATCCTATTAGATAAAGTAGGAAAAGACGGAAAAAATGCAATGATTCAAGACGATGCGGAAGAGACACACTGTCGTGAAGCACCGAAGGAAAAGGATTTTAATACAAGTCCTTACTACCTACACACATACACTTTTTATGCTCGTAGTAGCATGTATGCCCGTTAAATTTCAAAGAAAATTTACTATGAAGTCTACGCTAAAAGCAATAGCTTTATTAGACAGCCGCTAATAGTGTCAGGTTCGTATATGTCTAAAGGAAGGAACTGATAATTAAGGTATTTAGACACTGCATTCGAGTTCAGCAGTCTGCCTATCTGTGTAATAAGGAACCTAAGAGAGAATTACCTTCTAAAGCGTACCTATGTTATTGTTGAAGGTGTTAGCTGGACAAATATGTGAACGTAAGCGGTTACCGTTGTAGATTGTCATTTTTATAGGTATCGCATGGTGCTTTCACCTGTGGCCAGTCACCATTACACGGGGGTGATAAGCGACAAAATGATTATGTCGACTATGTGTCGCAAAACGTTGCCATTGAGATTGAACATCTTTCTAATCATAACACCACGACGAGCACTACTGTGTTTGGGTCATTGTTATTTTTACAAAATGTTTAACAAAGTTGAAAATAATAAGCATTCAGTGCGATGTCAGCAATGACCGGGTAACAACAAACATCTATTTTAATGTTCGGTTCATTTAAGACACCAATAGTATCGTATTATCTAAAGGAGATCCACTTGTAGAATCCGTTCCATCTAACCCTCGCTGACCAGTCTGGTTTTTTTTCTGAACAAAAAGAAGTGAAGTGCAACCAGAAGAAGCTTACCGATGACGGTAAAGGCAGCTATCCGCCGAGCCATGGTCAGCCGTTAGGAGACTAAATGTAGAGGATGTGGGTAGCTTTTGTATTTACATATATCTGTGCCCTCGGATGCTTCAGAATTGCAGGGCATCGAATCTCACCGGGTTCTGTACCCTCACGCCCCTGGGCACGCTTCAGGATAATTTCGTTGTGTGGTAAAAAAAATCGCCACACCTGCGTGCACGTTTTACTGTCCTTTATTTGAACAAGTCAACGGTTTTCGGCTCTATGCCAATCATCGCAGAGACCGGGCGTGGAAATCTAGCTTCGAGGATACTTGCGTTCTCGAGAGAGATAAAGTAGGCGGTGGTAGGCTCTTTAGAAAGAAGTGCACTTGCGATGAAGTACAAAATTAACAACTGTAGCTTTCTAATGCCTGCTAAGTTTCAAGAGTTGACTAAAGCGACCTTTTTGAAGACAAAACTAGGCGCTTTAGAGGCTTGTGAGATATGTTCACAGTGGTAGTTTGCATAATACGGGACATTTCTTTTAGTTGTCGCCTTTTTCAACATCTAATTTGTCTCTTAGCTCTGCCTGTTTCTCCTGTGCTATATTTAGCCTTTGGGTTCTTTATAGAACAGAGAACATTCAGATTGGGTGCGCACTAGCTGCTGGGCTTGTATGTTGCCCGCTGAATGTCACCAAAACGGCAGCAGGAGTGAGGCCCTGACACATACGTGTGGCTTAACGGGGAAATGAAATAAGGTGCGCCGAATAACTTTTTGGGCGCGGAAAGTGTATACGTGAAATTTCATTGACCAAACCTCTTTGCCCGTAAAGGTGGCACGTAGCCTTCTCCATGCCTTCCATGACAGAGACTTCTACGCACCTATGGAGGCTTCGCAACTATGTCGCTTGTAATAGGAGGGTAGTTGCCGATATAGCACAATCTATGGTTGCGGGTTGTTCCTTTTTCTCGTCTTGAGGACTAACTGAAACAAGCAATGCGATGCCTCCTGTCTCGAATTCATTCGCATTCTCATATGCATGGATAGTTCCGCAAACTTCTAGACCACAGTCACCTACTAGAATCCAAGGCGTGGCTGCAACCGAGTACAAGGCTATCTTCACTCTTCGGATAAACAGAACTGCCACCACTGCGCGACTGTGCTAAACCTGTTCCTCGGTATGTTAGTGTAGACGAAGACCTGCGATTATTTTGTTAGGAGATGTAATGTCGCTTTCGACTTCTCCTGGTTAACGATAGATTCGACGGCGGATAGTAAGGCATTGTGTTCATATAGACAAAGATGAATAGCGCGGGAAGCGCATACAGTCGACGCGTGCAGTGAAGATCGCATTGGCAGTACAACGCGACAACAGACAAACAAACAGTGCTTAGCCCTAACATTAGGCCAAGGCTCGGATCGCTAGCTGAAATTGGTCGAATTTAAAGGCTTACCGATGCTAAACGAAAAAAACGGTGAACAAATCGCCTTGAGCCTTGAACTAGAAGGAATTAGCGCCTGTATCGTTGAGAGAGTACGGAGCGTATAAAATCGGAAAGCACAATTTTCCCACTAGTGAGACAATGCACACCGTATAGAACATTGTGCAAATGTAACCTTTTAAAGGCACTGAAGTAGTAAATGAGCAACTTGTTCTCCATTCATTACCTGTTTTGGCTACCATGACTCCAATGCGATTATATAATATGTCCGAACTTGGGTGTTTCTAATGGTTTTCATTGCCTAACATACAAAGTTGACAAATAGATATTTCATAATAATCTTCGTTGCTTACTACTTCGTAGCACAACTTTGGCGCAGTTTTACGGTTATTTCAGGGTTGATTATTAATATTCATACGAAAACAACGCGCGTTGTTCTCATTTGTAATACGTGTTTTATTTCTAGGTAGAGGCTCCTCCGGTGGAAGTTCTGACGCGTATACTTCGCGAGCGCCATTTATGGGATGATTGTCTTATCAAATATCGCGTACTCCGGCGACTCGATACCAATACTGAGCTGTGCGGGTTCGTGCGCGCCGAGATGGACCCCCACGCTAGTCGAGAATACCTGCTCATGCGTACATGGCGGACGGACATCACTCCAAAGGGCACCTGTGCCCTCATTGAGGTCGGTCAGGAAACAAGCCACCGTTACTACACACAGCCATGTCATGTGTCTCGTGCACTAGTCGAGTAGGCCGTTGATCGCCGTTAGGCACGAGCATATTGTAGATTCTCGGAAAACGTTCTCTAGAACCACTATGGCTTCTAACGAACAGCAGGTGTTAACAGTTATTGATCTCGTTGTTGTTATTGCTATGGTGGCCGCTTCATGGCCCAGATGTCAGTTACAGATCAGGACTGGCCAGGTTTTAGCTCTGGCTATTGCCACGTAAGCACGCAGCCTACAAGCGTCCGCGCACATGTCCTGGCCTCACGCTACCTCGTGCAGCCTGGCGGTGGAGGGCGAAGCAAGGTCACGCATCTGGCCCGCGTTGATACCAGGTTCGTAACACGTTCTTGGGCATTCGTCAATAAAGTCGGTAGGGGTCGCCGTGCATGTTTAACGAGCAGATCGTCTCCTCACCATTCTGACAATTGGCAGTGCTGACTTCGGCAGCAAAACTGGACGAAACGAGGGCGAAGGCTAAAGGTCGTCCAATGGCCCGTAATGGGCCATGGGTCACCCTCAAAGAAAAGCTAATCGAGGAAAGAAAAACTTCTCCGAGCTCCTTCGTATTCTTGTATATATATATATATATATATATATATATTATGAATGTTGAGTTACTAGCTTGTTGTTTTTTAGTAACCATAACGCATGTACGCGTGTTATTTGTACTCGATTTAAACTCGGGATAGTGTTTTTTTCTAGCAAAACTATTCAGATAGTGATTAAGTCATTAATGGGAATCCGCGAAAAATAGAAAACGCCAGATATAATGAGCATACATACAACCATTTATATCGTGCGGCTGGCACTTGAGATACATCAGGCGAAATAGCATTTATTCCTCTGGGCCTGGCCTCTACTGGCAAGTCTTTGCTCTGATCGATCAGGATGAACATTTCAGAAATTAGCATAGACGGGAGGGGAGCAGGCAGCCTCACTTGAACTCGCTACGTTTCTGTGTCACAAGCTGCGCTTGTTATGGGCACCTCTTCATGCGTCATTAGCGTGCGAGCTGCACATCGTTGGTGTAATATGATTGTCTAGGCGTTTGTTTAAGCGGCTATCGCTGTTCGCCCGGTCATTAGAATTTCGAAAAGGTCGCGCGTCAATAAAGCATCTAGCGGGTAGTCGGCGGCCAGTCAGCCCCTAAGAACACTTTAATGAGTAATGAGTAATTAGTTATACATTTATCGTAATCACCTTTGATTCTTACCTTGGTGGTCAGGTGTTCATGAGCTGAGTGGGCCGTAACGCATGGTTGTATTAATTGTGAGACTGTAGACCACTATGACGTCATATCAATTCATCCATATTATTCTCATGACCAAATAACTACCGCTAAACATTAAATACTAGCTAAATGCTGAAGTAACCAATTGCTCTGATACTTTATAGCCTTCGAGATACGTGCACGTAGATTATATTTTTCGGTATGTTTCGATAATGCTTGTTAACCGGCACCGTATTTCAACCGGTCTACAAGGAGCAAAATACCCCAATTCAGTTCACTCTATCGTGCACATGTTCCGAACGTTTAACTGTGGCCATGTCAAAACAACGCAGTTACGCAGCGGATAGACACAGATTGAATAGTATTGATTTTAATTTGCAGGGGTCGTGGAGGTGACTGGCATAATCGTTCGGCAGGCAACATCCACGCACATCACTTGCTCAAAATGGCGCAATCATTCCGGGCAGCTTCGACAACGGTCCATACGGGGTCGCTTACTAACGGCCAAACGGTACTCAGTCAAGCAGGATCAACAATCGCCGACAAACAGAAAGAAACGAAGCTATAGCGTAACTAAAGATCCAATGTTTTCTTGGTTCAAAGGACCAACCAGGCCACTAATTACTCACACTAAAAGTATATATGGAGGAAACAAGATCACTTCGTAAAAGGTTGATATTGCTCCAAGAAACAGGCTACGATAACCGTTTCTCAACAAAACTAACGAGAAGATTTCAGGCACACGTGCACGTAAAGGTAGCAAACCGGAGATTATAAATGTCGCGTGGAAACAATGTTATTGTATACATAGAGATCTATACGTTATGGATCAATATACACCTATCTGTTGTTCCTATTTTATATACAAGACAAGCGAAAACACAGTAGGCAGGAAGGTAACTATTGTGTTATACAGTGATGGCAGGCGCCTGCTCTGACAGACTTTTATTCCTGACGACAAACTGACAGTGGTGACGAAGGAGGCTGAACACTTGGTAAGGTCATGGTGACTCCGCAACCATCCAGGACCAACCAGCATTACTATGACGGCGTCTGCATGTTGGCAAGCTATCAAGAAGTGAAGAAGTATTTTGTTCAAACCTTATTACAGACCATTGCTCCTTGCGAAGCGTCGACTATTGGCCACGTCGGGATCAGCTCAAGTGATTACCATGACAAGACGCGAAGCTGATAGATAACGAGAAATCTCGGGGTCGGCGATAAGTTTTTTTTTATATAGAAAACAAACTGCGTAGTCCAGCGCATGATACGTTCTTGGTATCAGATACCCTTGCAACACTGCAAGGGGCCAAGAGGAAAAGAGCGTCTTTGGGGAAGGGGGATTCGATAAAACTTTTTGTAGGAACGATTCCTCAAGCATCTGCGCAATATTAAAAAAAGGAAATAAAGAACAACACGCTGGTTTAGGAAATCACAAGTTCGACCTAATAGACATCGAATGTATCTCCGATAGAGGTTAGCGACCGTAAGGCAACAGTAGGAATGATAATGTTTAAGAATTCACTAAAGGTCCTAGCAGACTTAGTACGTATCCTCTGAAATATCTTTATACGTAAAAATATAGAGAAACCATAGTAAGGCCTAGTTGATGGCGGGCACGTTCTTGTGGCAATCACAGGACACGACAATATATGTGATGTATCTGAACGACATCTATGTACAGGCGATGTTGTCAATTGTATGTAAATAATATATGTGTGGACGGATTCAGAGGTAGCAACAGGTCGACGAAGTAGTCAACTGTCAGTTATTGTGTAATTTTTCTTTGATGTCGTTTTTTTGACTAGGTCTTACGTGCGCCGTGTGGCGGGGTCCGTTCTGAATATGGAGGGAACATTGTATCCCCACGTACGGTATACAGTGTATAAATAGATTACCGTCAATCAGTGCCGACCACTTTGTGTAGCAGTGTTCAACTTTTATGGTAATGAATCTGCAAAGTCTCAATAGCACGAGACAGAAAAATGATGATGTAAAGTATTCGATATGAGTGAATGGTTCAGTCCAGATTTATTAGACCGATCCTCACAGAGCCATGTGGTACCACCGTATTTTTCCATATCGTTCCATTAGGAACTGAGCGGCAACGAAGATTACTCAAGTAAACAAGTAACTATTTGCTATTTCTGGTCGTCTGTTTCTAGCGTCTTTTTGCTATAGCCCACAAGCAATTGAAGGGTATCAAGGCTCTAAGTTATCTCTAAGAGATGAACAAACAAACAAAGATTGAACTACGCGACGCTAATACATATCGATACTGATTTGGCTACACGTTTTGCCGCTGCTCAGGCGTGCCTCTATCCGAAATCGGTTCCTGGAGTACTATGTACGATAAACATTACGTTATATAAACACTAAAGGAGACTTTGCCCTTCTGCTATGATAGATGATGATCAATTGAGGATATGATAACAGCAAGGAAGGTGCGTAACAATCAACTAATGTTTGTTTAGCTTTTCGACATCTCAGTTGCGGTCCGTAACTTTACTTCATCCGTCCACATTATGTAAATGTGCTCGTTAGTATATAGTTGCGTGTTAAATTATGTAAAAACAGACTTTGATCAGTTTTGTCGTACGACTGAAGACAAAAGCTACATTATTCCCACTTTAGAACAGTGGTAAATACTCTCTCCGAGTAAATAGCTAACCGTGAAGGCTGCTGTTCCTGCTGCTGACAGGGCTGTATAGTGAATGACTGGCGGAAAGAGAGAGATATTATAAATGATACAGGTATTAATTTTACTACTCTAGTTAAAGTAGAGACGTATTAGTAAATCATACAGTGTTGCTAGTACAAGCAGACGAAAAAGCTTCCGTCGATGAACTATTATAAGAAGTTATTGTTATTATGTTGTCATATTGTAAAATAAGTAGTAAAAGTTTAAATTATTACGTAGCTTTCTTGCAATGGCTATTGACTGATGTGTTTCAAAATTAGCGTTTTTTTTAAACGAAAGACAGACAGGCCATAGGAAAGAAAGGACGACAAATAGAAATTAAACGTTGACAGTCATCATTATAAAACAGACGTGGAATCAACATTTCTAATATTATTACAAAACACCACAACGCATAACTTAATAATGGAACCCTCTCTTGCGTCCATAGCAGTTCCTCGATGAGGTCACAACGTTGAAATAATGTTAATAAGTAGGTATTGAGGTGGCAGCTGCTGTAATGAGAGATAATAAGCTCTGCGGACTATTCAACGTCGTATGTTGCACGTAGTCCATACACGAAAGAAGCCATATCTAGAAGCTCATTGCTTGTAGCGTCTGACCATGATCGACCACAAAGTCATTTAATCAGATTCTAATATCGGAATAGGAAAAACAACTTGGCAAGAGTGTAGAACTGATAAACGGAAGATAAACTCAGAACGTATGTTAGGGTTACATTTTCTACTCTACCGTCACTCTCAGTCAAGTATATATGTAGACTTGACTTGGATGTTGTGTGCGCGTCTCGTGGCCTCAAGGCTTTGTCCTCTCGAGTGGCCACGAAGCCGGTTTCGGTGACTAAGGACAAACAGGTCAAAACGGAGGTACCGAACAGATACGCTGAGGCAAACGCCACCGAGATTTTAACAATAAAGTTTATGTAACGAAAAGCAGCATATTGAGAAGCTGTGTCTCGTCGTTGCGGGCGCGGACACGGACACAATTAAAAAACACTTCTCGGGAAAAGGGCTCGACGCGTCGCTTTCACGCAGTATTACGTCAGGTAACTGAGAAGTGACTTCATTACCATCGTGTCATTGTACTTGTTGACTGTAATAAAAAAAAAAAAAAGTAATAATGAAACAGTTACAAAATTCGAAAGTTCGACCAGTTCCTCTCTGGAGGATAGACGACTTGTTTGATTCAAGCATTAGCGGTTGGCTTTTCTGGCCTTTTTACTGCCGGTCGTTTCGTTGTTTCGGTCGACGAGTGTTAATGATACTAATCGTCAGTAGGTCTAATTAGTGAAGATGTGGATGACGATGATAATTTGTAGAGACGACGTGACAGATGTATTCTTCTATTATACCGTCAAACAGTATTGTTTTTACGAGAAAACTATACAGGCGTGTTTACAGCATAAATAGAAGAATGAGTAAACATGTAAAATGTTTATGGAACATTATGTGAAAGCGTCAACGAACAAGACCTATTGTACTACTAGCTGAAATTAAATATATTGAAGCTCTAATAATAAGAGACTATCGAACAGATGCAAGTTATTACGTATGATAGCTGCCAGAGACAACGGTGGTGTGATGGTTATGCTGAGCCGTATGAAGCCGTTCATACAAAACGACGTCCTTAGATAGATGCTTGAAAGCAGACGAATTAAATGAGAAAAGAAAGTATATATTTGTCAAACAGATGGTGGATTGGACGAGCAAGCAAACCAAATAGGATATGGCGATTAACAGCGACATCGATGATGACAATAATAGAAACAGTATTCATAAGAAGCATAATACGAAGTATTCCCGAGTGAATGTATGAACAGCTGGTGATGGTGGCAAAGTGCTGGATAACAAGTGGACAAAACGCTCCACGATAGCGAAAAATATATATTCTAATAGATTGCACGAATAAACAACGGACCCAACACGCTTACAACATGATTGCTCCGCAACACAGTTAACAAAAGACGCAGCACACGACAAGAAGAAGGTCGACTAGGTGTCACGTCCATGGGACATGCGACTTCACGAATTCCACGTCAACTCGCTTGACGCTTACTGTCTTCAGATTGAATGCATGGGGACCAACTTTGTGTTGATATGAATAGTCATCTGTGATCAATTGCGATCTCGTCCAATAGAGGAAAAAGCTATAGTTAAAAAAAAAAAAAAAACAAAAACAAAAAAAAGAATTGGTTCAATTACCGGATAAATGGATACGCCATAATTTGTCACCTATTAGGACGTCCAAATTCAAATGTAGGATTCTGTTACCGGTTAGGAGAAGCAAAAAGCTGAAAAATAGCATTCGAATGAGTGGACAAGTCACAGAGGCAGGATACAGAGGCCGCAGCAGGCTACTAGTGTTTCTATGTACAAAGAATAGGTATATTGACAATACTGTCTGTATGCCTTTGTTCGATATTTGACGGTTTGATGGATATATCAAGCTATCCGTCTACTGGTTTACCTCAGAGTTTAAGTTGTTTCCTATGGATTTTCCCAGAGAGAGAGAGAGAGAGAGAGAGAGAGAGAGAGAGAGAGAGAGAGAGAGAGAGAACTTGAACATTTTTCTCAGTCTAAAGTAGCTTATGATCATTGATAGAATTCGTATTTGTATTTCACTAGAGACGTTTGCAGTAGGGCAGCAGAACAACCCAAACTTATAGCAGCTGCTGGATTTCGTTAGCATTGGTAAACCGCTTATGATAAAGGTCTGAAAACATGGCGAAAGAGTACCGCCAGCGGAAGACGCGTAGGAATTGTCATTGTCGTCAGCTGTAGTGTACCGCTGAAACAGCCGTTCCCGTAGCAGCAGGAAAACTCCACTCGTACTGTACGTTAGCTGTGTGGTGTCCTGATGAGTATAAGGCCAGGCCTCCTTTTGCTTGCCCTGTATCAAGCGTGATTTGTCTCGACTAATGATTATTCAATTCAGCGACTAGCTAATTGCCGTTAACCGACGCTCTTGATCCGGCTTTTATTCTGTTTCATAAAGTGACTCCGTCGATTACTATTCATCCAACAACGTTCAATGCATCACCCCTATCACTTCAAAGTTCGACTAAAAACACGGTGATGATGATCGGCGAAACAGGCAGACTTTATCGCTCAACGGAATTGTGTATTTTATGACTACGAGAACGAACATGGTGAAACGAAACAGGACTCGGGAAGGAACATAGCAGTAGTGGGCGAAAAGATCATTGAAAAAAAAGCACATAAATATCAATTCCTAATATATGTATCTAAACCACACCGTTCATCTATGGAAAAAGGTTTATATATATATATATATATATATGAAGATTACTATGATGAGTACTATATATAAACCCGGTTGCACCAACATATCACCAAAGACAAAAATGGGAAAATACTACATAGAAAAAAAAAAGTCGAGCAACAAATAATAAATGAAATGTCATTTTAAAACACAGCAAATACTACTATCTGTTTTTCCTTTGCTGATAGTTGAAGAAGCAACTGAAGTAGACTATGGGAGGAATTAAGTAGCAGGGGGGGGGGGGGGAGATCTAAAACTGCGTGTACGCGGTTAAAGGTCGTGTTGGAATTAGAAAAAAGTTGTTAGATGGGAATCTTGAACTTTCTACCTAGCGGCGTCTAAATATTTTGTTCTTTCAAGTAAGGAACACCTCTTTAAGTCTACAGAACTAATAACTTACCGAGTCATAAGTATGCATATATTTATCATAATATATGTACGGCTCGAAATGAAAGTTCTACTTAATATGAAAGTTCGTTTGTTTTTACATACAACTAAACTGATCATCGTAGTCCGTCTTCTGGGCCCGCACATCGCTGTTTTGTCAAATAAAGTCAATCCTCCATGGCGGTCGGGAAAAGCTGGCGTATTGTCGATAGTAGAACGAAAAAGGATTTACAGTTATTGAACAAATGACAGCCGCCAATCGGCCGGGTCTTCCCTCTTCGAAGCGGCCAGTACAAAAGCGGGTGTCCTCCGCCGTTGAAAAGCTTTATGTGGCCCTCACTATGCATTCCAGATAGGGGTGTACTGCTAGGTTTCAGCAGGATGAAACAATACAGCCTGCTGCATTATCTCCCAGCCCTGCACCCATTCAGGCGCGCAGGTAATTTTGTATCAATTAATAAATTTATTTACGTGGCAGTTGAGGTTTACGCAAACAAACGAGCCACTACACAAAAATCCAGAAGTTGAAAGCTAGTATTAAAGTAGCGGTACAGTCGATCGCTGATAACACGGCTTATCTAAGACTATTATACTATTTAGTAGAAATTCTGCCCCAAACGTCTCATTTTTCTTCTTATTTTTATAAATGTTGAGTAGAATTGACCTAACTCCATTCGTCCGCCTAGTACTCAACGTAATAATAGCTTCAAGCAACGTTACGGATGCTTGTGTCGCTGTATGACAGCTGAGGTAAATCGTCACTTCATTTTAAGTAACCTGAAGTAGAGGCTGAATTAATGGGACAGCCCAACTACGGCGTCTGTACAAACAAAATATGACCGTTAAGAAGTTCGGGGGGTTACCTTTTAATATGTAATTGATTCACTTCAGTAGTACAGCGTTTATTCACCCAAAAACAATGACATTAAATCGATTCCACTTGAAAATAACGGAAAATCATATAAAAAAAGAACATTTTTATATATATAGCTTTTCTGTTTGTGCAAAATACGTTTGTTTTGATTTATCGAACAGTGAGCTTTTTTTCATTGCTAGACTGGGCAAGATCTTCATGAATCGGATCAATTTTGCTGGCATCATATAAAAATAAAATGTATTTTATTCATATATCTCATAATAACTTTGCGTTATATCATACATGATAGAAACGTTGTAAATAGTTCGCACTAAGTTAAAGCTTGCTGACTGGGTTTGTTTCAAAATCATTCTCGAGTCACTTCAAGGTTTTTTTTGTCTTCATCAAACACAATACCTGGAGTACATACAAACACAAGCCGGAGTGCGAATCTGGTTTTGTTAATCTTGAAAAATCTTACAATAGACCTAGTCAGCCACCTGAGTCGCGTGCGAATCACATATTCCCGAAGCTCTCCATGAAACGAGAAGTACTTGCAAAACGTCTCATACGGGCACCTCGTCTAAAGTTTGCAGACCATAGCTTTATTTACAGCTATGCTCGAATTTAAATAACGGTTGAATAAAAGCAATAGGTTTTGTCCTATGCAAGCAGCCACACCCTTCACAATGAGATGTTCGCTTTTATTTCGATGTATTCGATTTATGTACGAAATTATCGAACAAAAAAAAACCCGGAAGGATAAGGCCGATCGCTAAATTTCAGCAAACACTTTCGTAGCTGTCTTACAATAGGACGATCATTTAGAGACGATAATTAAAGAGCCGACCGAAGTGAAGGTACCCATCAAGGTAGGAGGCCTGCAGCTGGCTCAATTCTAGCCTGTTACATAATATGTATACGCGTGACAAATAGTCAGCGGCATTCAAAAAGAATGTTGACGTTCTCAAAGTTTATGCAGCCGACCAAAGATGGACGCATTATGAAGATAATGTAAAAGTTACTTAGAAATCGTGCGGCAAAATATCAAGCAGGGCCACAATAGAGTAACGTTAGACTCTGGAACTATGCAAACGTCTCTAAGACATTCTGCTCACCGAAAGTGGCCTTTCGCTAAATCAAGCTCGATTGATCGAACTGTGCCGGGAACTCAAGGCCATTTGTTTTTCGTGGTTTCAGCCGGTCACGGCGTAATATCCTTCTAAAAATAACTGTGTCCTGAGAACTCAACAAGTATGCTTGCTCTACATGCTGTCATCGATGTTTACCTTTAGAAAATACCGTTTGAAATAGTAACCGATGTTGGCTTCAGGAAAAAGACAACACTCTCGGTCTCAACGCGACGGCTAAAACGAAACATCGTTTTATTTACTTTAGGTAACTACCAGTTCTTTGATTGTTATATTATCATTGTTTTGGCTGTAGAACCAATCGCAAAGAGTATTCCTAACCAATAGTTAATAGACTTTAGTTATATAACAACGCAAACAAACCGAGAATTTTCACGTCACGTAAAGCACGCTCTTCATTACCTGATTACCGAGGCTATCAGCATTGAAAAAATTCCTGCCAACTTAACAGCCGAAACGCATTCAATCCCAGTGAACATCTATGTTATTTTTGCAGGTTGTAGACATTTTTTTGAAGTTCGGATTGCGTACTGGTGCTGCATTTACCGTGACTGGCAACAGATTTCTATGCAAAATTGTTATGGCTAACGAAAGGTGGTGACTCTATGCCGGTATGGAACAAAAAAAAAGGGTACTAAATAGCTGCGGGAGATACGCCTATGCCTATAGTTATGCTAGATCTCCAATAGAAGAAAGACTATCTGCTAGTGGAAACCCAAAAATACTAGACAAAAGCAAGGCGGTCCGAATACCTATAGTCACATGTAGTATAGATCCCAGTCAACGGAGGAAACATTCATTTAACAGATAGGGCCCGGTAGATCAGTTGAAATTATCTTCTCCACAACAATGCCAGACATAAGTGGCAGAGACGATCGAAATCACCCGTAGAGAGTTTGTACGGGAGCTTCTTTAACATCCCGCAGCATTTTGTAAATTTCGTGTCAACAGCTTAATAACTTGTACATGAAATTACTAATGGTTCTAAGGGTTTTTGGCAAAGGCCGTAAAGTATAAGTAGATCACAATTAAATGTATCGTAAGAATCTCAATAGAATTCTCTGTTTATGTTAGGTAAAAGAGCCGGCGTGCTTCTGGATTAACCAAATATGGAGTCATCGACTCCTTATGTAAACGTTTAAAGTATAACCAGTTTGCGAATTTCACAAACATCATGGATTAATAATAAGGAGACTGGGTAATCAAAATTTCTGCTTACAAAATTCCTCTTCTCATCTAACTTACAGCAATATCGTAAACTGCACAGGAGGCATGACACACTTTCAGAGACGTTTTTTTTTCTAGATAAGGGTCTAAAAATATTAGGCCTATGTCTGTTCCTCCGTGAACTAGGCGTTCAGGGAGAATCTGCATTATATAAGAGCTTAGGCTATGTTAGGGTGTTCGCAAACGTCAGTGCCTTGGTCACGGGCACAGTCAGGTTTTTTTTGCATAATACACTTGACGTGTGTCGTACCAGGACCTCGATGCTCG